TATTTATTATTATTATAATTTTTTTTTTTAATTATATATATATAATTTATATATATGCTGAATGAATCATATACATTTTATGAATAAAAAAAGTTTAATAAATGTATACTATACTTTTAATTAAAAATAAATCACATGATATAAAGTTAAATGCATATTTTGAACATATACATAATCTAAAAAATACATAAAGGCAACATATAAAGTTCACAAAATATATAGTAAAATTTGCATACATTTGAAATATTACACTTAGTATTTATATGTTGAATAAAATAAAAGTTAATTAATACATTTGTAAATCAATAAATTCATAATATATTATAATGTATTTTTAATGAAAAATAAATTACATATGATATAAAATTAAATACAAATTTTTAATATATAAATATTATAATATAAAAATACATAAAGGCAACATATAAAGTACACAAAATATACATTAAAATTTGCCTAAATTTGAAATATTACACTTAGTATTCATATGTAGAATAAAATAAAAGTTAATTAATACATTTGTAAATTAATACACATTAAAATGATTAAAATGTATTTTTAATGGAAAATAAATTACGTAACTTTTTATATATATTTGTTAAAAAAATTAATTGTGCCTAAATTTGAAATATTACACTTAGTATTCATATGTAGAATAAAATAAAAGTTAATTAATACATTTGTAAATTAATACATTTATAATACATTAAAATGTATTTTTAATGGAAAATAAATTACGTAACTTTTTATATATATTTGTTAAAATACATATAAAAATTAATTGTATACAATTGAAATTTATAATAAAGTTAGTACATAAATGTAATGAATTATATGAATTAATGAAAAAATACATAATAAAATACATAAATAAATGAGTAAAAACATACATGTATAATTAAAATATATTTTTAGTGAAAACTTAATTATAAATATTAAATAAACAATATAAATATTATATATATTAGTGTTGGGCAATGATTACAAGGTTTAATTGTGATTAATCGCATTATGCACAAAATTCAATAATGCATTCAAAAGTAGTGTATTGTGCACTTTTTTCCATTTAAAAGTACTGCTATATGAACAAAAGTGCAATAACATTTGGTTTGCAAACACTTTAAACAAATAAGGTGCTTTTTTTTACAGCAGTATTCCTTTTACATATAGCAGTTAAAATATTTCTTGTAAATCTCAACTTATGTTATGCTCAGAGTCCAGAGCCTCGATCATAACATTATAACAGGCACCTTCCGAGTAGAGACCTGCACTATCGCAGGACCCAACGCAGCAGAGTGCGGAGCGGGACAACACCTGATGGGCGAGACTCGTGTGTGTGGGATGCGGGAGAATAAGGGTGTACTCACTCTAGGCAATCTTAACCGTGCCCGAGCGAGTTTGACCCCCAAAGCCCGGTTCGTTGGACTAGTGTGATCGCTCCGTGCCGCGGATATCAGTTATATATAGATCAGTGAGTGTGAGCGCGGAACGTATGATACGTGCAGCATGATTGCATGAACATTTCTGAGCGGCAAGAGTGATAGATCTGTAAGGCAGTATATATTGTGAGAGGGCCGTGTGTTACCGCGTCCCAAACGAACAAAGTTAACAAAACAATGCACTCCACTGTGCTGAGCGAGAGCGTTTCTCTGCTGTCTTCACGTGCTATCGGAAACTTCCTATTTCCCAATTATGAAGTCATGATTACAAGCACACTGCATTCTTTTCTGTTAAAAATAACAGTGAACAGTGGTTTGTGAACACCCATCCCAAGCCAGTACTGATCAACATCCCACCCCTTACAACACACACACGCATATAAATAAGGCACTCAATAGTGTAATATATAACAGAATATTTTCTGAATATCATTTATTTGACAGCATAGTGCTAAACATACCAAAGTCTGCCAGTTTGAGTTCACCCCTCTCATTGATGAGCAGGTTCTGTGGTTTCAGGTCCCGGTGCAGGACCTTGCGTCTGTGGCAGTACGCCAGTCCTCTCAAGATCTGGAACAGGAAAATCTAGAACCACACAGGTTAGAGTACAGGTTAGAAGACCAGAAAGAATGTTTCATGTGTTGCATTGCACTAATACCAACAAACCGACCGTTTATGTTTTGTTAAATCCATTTGGTGTAGAATAAACAGACACGGGACAGACCTTAACGTTGTGCATGCTCATGATGTTTCCACAATCGTCCATGTACTGCTTCAGATCCTTATCCTGCAGGAAGCCATCACCGAACAAATAAATAAAGAAATAAATAAATAGAGCAAGAAACAAATGGAACAGAATGAGAGGAGCAGCATGAGACGTTCACTCACCAGATACTCAAAGACCAGAGTGAGGGATTTGTCCGTATGGACAATATCATGAAGCGTGACGATGTTGGCGTGCTTTAAATCCTTCAATAATGACACTGAAAGAGAGAAAACGGCAGGATCAATCAGGGCACTATAGACACGAGTATCTTGGCATCCAAAGGGGTTTTGAGGAGAGATGAATAGAAAGAGACACAGAGAGAGAGATTCCTCACCCTCTCTAATAGCTGTGCATGGAGCGCCCTCCTCATGCTCCAACCGGATCTCTTTCAGAGCTACCAGGTTGTCTGTCAGTTTGCTCCGCCCCTTGAAAACAGTGGCATACGTCCCCTATAATACAATAATAGCAATCATTAGATTTCAGAATGCAAAAAGTCACTAGGTATGTACCAACAGATTAATCATTTACTGACAAGTATCATGCAATGTTATTGTAGTAAAATTAAATATAAATATATATATCATATAAATATATATTACATATATTTCTTAAACAAACTTTTATTTTGGATGTGATTTATCACGATTAATCGATTTGACAGCACTAAATTTTTACACTAAATGTGTTTAACTGTTTTTACACAAGTTTTACACTAGAGATGAAGTTAATGGATTAATTATTTACTGACAAGTATCAAACTTTTTTTTTAAATAAAAAATAACTAAGTAAAATAAATATTACATCTAAAAAACACCCAATAATACTTTGAAAAATATCTTATGTACAGTCAAATGATCAGCAGACTGCCATCAATGACCAAGATCATCTCAATTACCCCCTTATTATTGAACATGTTCAGTTACAGTTAAACACAGTGGCAGAAACACCTGCAAACAGAGTATCCTTATAATGCTATCAGTTAATGAAAACTTCTGTGTGATGTATAAGTCCAAGACTTCTGTTGTATCATCCACCGAATCATTAATCACTGTTAAACGCACTTTTCTGACAGGGCAAAATAATGATGAAATGTCAGAACTAGACTCATCGTACCTCTCCCAACTTGTCCAGTTTGATGTAGGTCTCCAGTTTCCCAAAGCCGATTTCTGACTATAAAAAGAGAGAAGGAGAGAGATTGCTTCATTAATGCGATCTGGTTAATGCTGAACAGGCCTGCATGTGTTCAACAGACCTTATCAGTGAGAAACACGTGTCTGGAGTGTTGCTCGCTGTCTCTGATATCTGCAGCCAAAATTATTTCCCAGACAAAGCCATTAATCACACACAGTATTCAGACTCCCATGGACACCAGGGGGCACCAGAATGCCAACATAAACCCCCTCTCCTTTACACACACATTGAGGGTTGGCGGTGGGGACGACATAGACAGATGACAGCTAAGAACAATGGATGCCAAGAAACCCAGACGCAAAAGCAGGGGGCTTTTCACATGCAAAACCCTCTACGTATGCGCCCAACAGACAAAGAACATGGTATGTGTCTTTGTGCTCCACTGAGAGTGCAACACACTAGGTTTCTCGTCCACGGGCCGGGTTTATCTGCAGCAGTCCGTGTTGTTTTGAAAAGCTTGCTGTGGACTCATTAACTAGAGCTGAATATTCTTCAGACATAATCTTTTACTCTTAAACAGCTCAGCTAAAAATGTCCTTTACTCACTCTCATGCCATTCCAAACCCATTTCTTTTAATCATGGAGCTCAAAAGGTCTTCAAAATTGTTCTTTGCATACAATAAAGTATGTACCATGAGTTTTCAACCTGCAAAAAAGCACTTTAAAAGTTGCCCGTATGGCGTATGCACTATTTCTATTCTCACATAAGTCTCATAAAGGCATGATATGATAGTTTTGTGCGAGCTATTCTCTGTACTTCTCAAATCTAATTCGATTAGATCACATTTTGTAACCAATCGTGACCCACAAAGTCATTGCACAGCTTCTGAAAACTTATAATATAGTGCAAAAGCCGTTTGAACTTCATAAAAAAAAAAATAAAAAAAAAAGAATCACGACAATTTTTGGAAATTTGCACAAATTGCAATTTTCTTTGTGCAAAACATATTTTTATATCTTTAATTAGATTCAAATGTTATTTTTAAACTTTTTTTGTTTTTGATAATTTTTTTAATCTTTAAATTTTGTGGTGTAATATGACACGGATGCAATCAAAGAGATTCAACCATGTCCGTTTGGCAGAAAAATGCTTGTATACAAAAGCATTACAAGCTTTGATTAACATATATTAGCAACACTGGTGTTTGACCAATTGTGGTTATTGTATGATTTCATTGCATTGATGACTAAAAACATCTTAGACATGCGTAAAAAAGAGTCCAAAACAAAATGAGGGTGATTAAATTCTGATATTTTCAAATGACCCATCCTTTAAATAGATATAAAACACACCATTATGCATTTCACAGACAGCACTTGATTACATTTGAATTGAATACATTATGGTTCAAAAGTTTGTGGTCTGTTATTTCATTTATTTAAATGTTTTAAAAAAAGTAAAAACAGTAATATTATAAAATATGATTACAATTTAAATGTAAGATTTTCTATTTTAATATACTTTAAAATATATGTCAAAGCAGAATATTCAGCATCATTACTCCAGTCTTCATTCAGATATGCTGATTTGCTGCTCAAGAAACATTTCTAATTATCAATGTTGAAATCAGTTGTGCTGCTGGTTAATATTTTTGCAAAAACTATAATTCTTTGATGAACTTTTAAGCTTTTAATTGAAATAGAAATCTTTTGTAACATTATAAATGTCTTCCCTGTCACTTTTGATCAATTTAATGCATATTTTGCAAATTAAAAGTATTATTACTGACTGCAAACTTTTGAACGATAATATACATAGTATAATATCTAATTCAGAGTGACAATGGCTTGCTGTTTGACAGCCGTGTCATAGTTTTAACTCTGCCAGATTGAATAATCTACATAAACCTTATTGTTTCAAACACAATGTGGGATTTATTCATCTTGAACACCATGATCCCACAGCCATTGATGTCAAAAGAGAAACTTAATGTCGAGTCGTGTTGCTATGCTGCATGGTTGCTAGGTAGATATCCCATCATGCTCAAACAAAGAGATGCACGGCATATTATGAAACGTGATTTATTTACGTCTGAGATAAAATGCTAGTTCAGTGAGGAGGTGTGTCATGATTATGTGGTTTATAGAAAACACAAACACATAATTAAGACTAGTATGGGACAAATATGATGGCATTAGAAGGTAAACTACCTTTTAATGTCGTAAAAGGGCCTTTTAAGGGTTTATTCACGCAAACTCACCAGCGAGGCTCTACGTGACCGTCGGCTGAGGGGTTGGTCAAACGGTGGGCTGCTCAGCTGCAGCTTTTCCAGGTAACCGTCAGGAATCCGGATATCAGCAGGCAAAGACAAGCGTTTATTCAGGTCCTGAGAATCAAATCACACACACATATGCAAACAAGTCAGTCGCGAGGGACAAAATTAGCTCAGTTCTTATCAAAGTAGGAATCAGATTAATAATTGATGCTTGGTGACTATTCATTTGCTGTGTCTCGTCTGAGAGCAATGTGTGTGTGCTTGTTTTAAATAAGATAGCGTGACTTCATAAAGCCTTTCTCAAACCAGAGCATTAGCATCTTCCATAAATAACCCTCCATCATGCTTTGAATCTCCTGCATTTACATCTCTCTCTCTCTCATGGCTTTTTTCTCCACCCACAGGCTACTTTTAAAGACGCGTGCAGCATGATATAATCTCATAGGGCAGCACATCAGTCCAACACTTGTGTACAAGTACAGGCTGACTGAGGAGTGAATCACTTCACCCCAAAATCAAAAGAAAAACTAATTATATTTCGCATCATGATATTTTTAATAACATTCAAATGAGCACATTAATCTTAAATTAAGCACATTTACCCATGCAATTCTCGTCACTTTAATGCAAAATAAAACTATTTGTGCCACTTTTGAAAATGTTTAGACAAGATGATTTTCATAACTGTCACAGAAATGAGAATCTAATGAGAATCAATGAATTTGAGAATAATGAAAACTACAAAAAAAGTAAAACACTCAAATGCATGACAGAGAATATTGAGTCGGAAATAACACTAAAAAACAACAAATAAATAAATAATAATAATAAGTAAATAAAGAATTGTAAAAACTTTAAACTCTTAGTAAATTATGCATTATTACAACAAGCACTATATCTAAGCCTTGGTAATTAAAACACTTTTTTATATTTTTTTATTTTATTTAAAGTTAGATTTTTAAACCAATCAAAAGGAGTATAACAAATTCTATAATGACAAACTTCAAATGGATAAATTATTTGATTATTTAATATTATTTATTTATAAATTTAATTATAATATACATTATATTTATTATTTTTTAATATATGGATATTATATTGTTATTACATGTTACAGTAAGGAGATTTTGGTGGTAAAACTATAAACTAAATGGCCTGAAAATAATTGGCAAATGTCACAAAATCATAATAGCAGACTATATCCAACAGAATTCTTTTTTTCTTCCCCTCTTAATTTTTAAAAAGTAGAATGTGACCTGACACCTCTTCATGAGATTCACCTATACAGTACATGGTTAAATGATATCTACATATCTATTGGCTTTTAAACTGTGCATGTAGCTGCAGTAACCCAATTCATACAGCAGGAGGCAAAAGAGCAACGGAGACAGAGAGAGAGAGGAACACATGGCCAAATAACTAGTTTGGACTGAAGTTTGCAATTAAAACCCCAGAATAAGAAGCTTTAAATGCGTTATGTAGCAAGAGTGTGACGTGAATGTCTTGATGTATTCAGGTTAATTCTGATAAAAAAAAGTAGTTTTTCTATTTCAAAATCCTCTAACAGTGTTATTCAAACCCTCTTTTTAACAATGTACTGCAGAGAGAAGAATAGAAAGTGGAAATGGAAGGAGCGAGGAAAAAAAAAGAGACCAAATCCATTCCTTTCAGATCCTTGTGTGCGGTAAGACAGAAAGCCAGTTATTAATATCAAACAGCAGCCCAACCTCGACAGACAGACAGATATATATGATTTGAAAATCACCGTCTGATACAGTACGAACCAAATGCGACGCCTGTTTACAGTGATTTTTCTGTACTCACAGGAAACGAAAAAGCCACATGACGCATCATAATCACAGCCAATCAGAACATATTTGATGTTTAATACATAGTTATAAGGAGTGGGATTTTGGACCAATGAGAATTCACAATGGGCGGGACTACGTATTCTGTTAGCCTAGACATAGAAACCAAACCGTATTGACAAAAAAGAAACTGCTTTGATTTACGAAATGTTCTGTTGTTTGTTGTGGTTGATTACAAAAACTAGTCAAAGATCTCAAATCTTCAAAACTTGACGTTTAACACCTGAGAGTCCTCGAACTGCAGTTCCTCTTATAACATCTGCACCTGCCCACAAAACCTCCAAATTTCTTAAGATCATCTCAGCAAGGAGGAAGGGGAAGAGAAAAGCCGACTAACAGGACAAGGGAGAAAACAGGAAAGGATGAGAAAGAAAACACACCAGAGGAATCCCTCCACCTACCCAAAGCCAAAAATAAAGCTCTCAGTAGTGACACATCACCCAGTCTGAAGCTTTCAGGGTAACACGCGCATGCTTTCTGCCTCCTCCTGTGAATAAGTGAGCGTGTGGCAGGTTTGTGCTGCTGATTAATTTATGGCCTCACGCGGTCTGTCTTACCTCCATAGATATGCGCCGATGATTTCTGGTGCGGAGACACACGCCGGTGGGCGATTGCACTTCGTCCGAGGACGTCCCTGAGGCTTGATCGCTCTCTCCATCCGAACCCATCTTCAGATTCTCATGAACAATGTCTGCGAGAGAGGAAGAGGAGGTTAGAAAATGAAAATGTGTGATATATGTGGTGCGAGACGCTTCTGCTCTAACGGATGAGCTATGGAAAGGGTTTCTGGGAGATTTTATTAGTGCATATACTTGTACATAGCTGAATCCCAATACTTACAATAGTTCCCAATATACTTACACTAATACGCAATAAAAGAATGCATGTTTGATCATATTTTTTCATTACATCTTTTATACTGAATTTAATTTATTCTGAAAAAAATAAAATAGAATATTTGGATTAAATTAAATTTATTTTTGGACATTTTTTAAACTAAGGTACAAGTCCTCTATTTGGCTTTTCAATTGGTAATGAGAATTTGATCAAATAAAATAAAAATTGGACTTAATTCAATTTATATGAAGGAGTGTCATTATTATTATTATCATATTTAAAATTATTAAAAATAATTTAAATTACATTTTTTTAACTTTACAATTTGACAAATAAATAAAAACACATTTAATATTTTAAATGGATATGTAATATTTTAAATAGTTTAATTCAAGGTGGAAATTTTATTTAAATGTGAAAAAAGACTGTAAAATCAAAATATCATAACTTTTAAAAACAAGTAACGTACTATAAGAAAGCATTTACCAATTGTTTTCTTAATCCAAATTTTTATTTTGATTACATTTTAAAATACAAAGAGTTTAAACACAAAACAGCCATCAAAAAAGGCAAATGTTGACTAATTTTAGGCCTAAGATGCACTTTAAGGACATTACCATTACATTATCTTATGGTTAAAATCAGTGAAAAAGTACTTCTGAAATACTATTTTAATATACTATGGTTTGGGACACACTAATCTGACTATGTAGGATAGATAGTGATTCGGGATTCAGTCTAATGTGTGTGTGCTGTAAAAGCAGCATTTGATTTCAGTGAAAGACCTTATTCATCCTCTTCCCTTTAAAAACACACACAGACAGACACACACACACACACACACACTCATACCTGTGTACATGAAGCGACATACGCACAGCACATCAAGCAGAACGTCTGTTAATAATTTTACCGCCATTCTTGATATTCATGAAAACCAGTCAAGCATGACACTGACACACATCCTCTGTTCAAATTCACCTACGCCACGATTCCCGAGAAAGGCACACGGATTACACCGAAAACAAGAAAGGTGTGAAGGGATATGCACTTTCCCATGTGCTTTTTGTTTATACAGCATGCTCAAACAAAGAGATGCACGGCATATTATGAAACGTGATTTATTTACGTCTGAGATAAAATGCTAGTTCAGTGAGGAGGTGTGTCATGATTATGTGGTTTATAGAAAACACAAACACATAATTAAGACTAGTATGGGACAAATATGATGGCATTAGAAGGTAAACTACCTTTTAATGTCGTAAAAGGGCCTTTTAAGGGTTTATTCACGCAAACTCACCAGCGAGGCTCTACGTGACCGTCGGCTGAGGGGTTGGTCAAACGGCGGGCTGCTCAGCTGCAGCTTTTCCAGGTAGCCGTCAGGAATCCGGATATCAGCAGGCAAAGACAAGCGTTTATTCAGGTCCTGAGAATCAAATCACACACACATATGCAAACAAGTCAGTCGCGAGGGACAAAATTAGCTCAGTTCTTATCAAAGTAGGAATCAGATTAATAATTGATGCTTGGTGACTATTAATTTGCTGTGTCTCGTCTGAGAGCAATGTGTGTGTGCTTGTTTTAAATAAGATAGCGTGACTTCATAAAGCCTTTCTCAAACCAGAGCATTAGCATCTTCCATAAATAACCCTCCATCATGCTTTGAATCTCCTGCATTTACATCTCTCTCTCTCTCATGGCTTTTTTCTCCACCCACAGGCTACTTTTAAAGACGCGTGCAGCATGATATAATCTCATAGGGCAGCACATCAGTCCAACACTTGTGTACAAGTACAGGCTGACTGAGGAGTGAATCACTTCACCCCAAAATCAAAAGAAAAACTAATTATATTTCGCATCATGATATTTTTAATAACATTCAAATGAGCACATTAATCTTAAATTAAGCACATTTACCCATGCAATTCTCGTCACTTTAATGCAAAATAAAACTATTTGTGCCACTTTTGAAAATGTTTAGACAAGATGATTTTCATAACTGTCACAGAAATGAGAATCTAATGAGAATCAATGAATTTGAGAATAATGAAAACTACAAAAAAAGTAAAACACTCAAATGCATGACAGAGAATATTGAGTCGGAAATAACACTAAAAAACAACAAATAAATAAATAATAATAATAAGTAAATAAAGAATTGTAAAAACTTTAAACTCTTAGTAAATTATGCATTATTACAACAAGCACTATATCTAAGCCTTGGTAATTAAAACACTTTTTTATATTTTTTTATTTTATTTAAAGTTAGATTTTTAAACCAATCAAAAGGAGTATAACAAATTTTATAATGACAAACTTCAAATGGATAAATTATTTTATTATTTAATATTATTTATTTATAAATTTAATTATAATATACATTATATTTATTATTTTTTAATATATGGATATTATATTGTTATTACATGTTACAGTAAAGAGATTTTGGTGGTAAAACTATAAACTAAATGGCCTGAAAATAATTGGCAAATGTCACAAAATCATAATAGCAGACTATATCCAACAGAATTCTTTTTTTCTTCCCCTCTTAATTTTTAAAAAGTAGAATGTGACCTGACACCTCTTCATGAGATTCACCTATACAGTACATTGTTAAATGATATCTACATATCTATTGGCTTTTAAACTGTGCATGTAGCTGCAGTAACCCAATTCATACAGCAGGAGGCAAAAGAGCAACGGAGACAGAGAGAGAGAGGAACACATGGCCAAATAACTAGTTTGGACTGAAGTTTGCAATTAAAACCCCAGAATAAGAAGCTTTAAATGCGTTATGTAGCAAGAGTGTGACGTGAATGTCTTGATGTATTCAGGTTAATTCTGATAAAAAAAAGTAGTTTTTCTATTTCAAAATCCTCTAACAGTGTTATTCAAACCCTCTTTTTAACAATGTACTGCAGAGAGAAGAATAGAAAGTGGAAATGGAAGGAGCGAGGAAAAAAAAAGAGACCAAATCCATTCCTTTCAGATCCTTGTGTGCGGTAAGACAGAAAGCCAGTTATTAATATCAAACAGCAGCCCAACCTCGACAGACAGACAGATATATATGATTTGAAAATCACCGTCTGATACAGTACGAACCAAATGCGACGCCTGTTTACAGTGATTTTTCTGTACTCACAGGAAACGAAAAAGCCACATGATGCATCATAATCACAGCCAATCAGAACATATTTGATGTTTAATACATAGTTATAAGGAGTGGGATTTTGGACCAATGAGAATTCACAATGGGCGGGACTACGTATTCTGTTAGCCTAGACATAGAAACCAAACCGTATTCACAAAAAAGAAACTGCTTTGATTTACGAAATGTTCTGTTGTTTGTTGTGGTTGATTAAGACAAAAACTAGTCAAAGATCTCAAATCTTCAAAACCTGACGTTTAACACCTGAGAGTCCTCGAACTGCAGTTCCTCTTATAACATCTGCACCTGCCCACAAAACCTCCAAATTTCTTAAGATCATCTCAGCAAGGAGGAAGGGGAAGAGAAAAGCCGACTAACAGGACAAGGGAGAAAACAGGAAAGGATGAGAAAGAAAACACACCAGAGGAATCCCTCCACCTACCCAAAGCCAAAAATAAAGCTCTCAGTAGTGACACATCACCCAGTCTGAAGCTTTCAGGGTAACACGCGCATGCTTTCTGCCTCCTCCTGTGAATAAGTGAGCGTGTGGCAGGTTTGTGCTGCTGATTAATTTATGGCCTCACGCGGTCTGTCTTACCTCCATAGATATGCGCCGATGATTTCTGGTGCGGAGACACACGCCGGTGGGCGATTGCACTTCGTCCGAGGACGTCCCTGAGGCTTGATCGCTCTCTCCATCCGAACCCATCTTCAGATTCTCATGAACAATGTCTGCGAGAGAGGAAGAGGAGGTTAGAAAATGAAAATGTGTGATATATGTGGTGCGAGACGCTTCTGCTCTAACGGATGAGCTATGGAAAGGGTTTCTGGGAGATTTTATTAGTGCATATACTTGTACATAGCTGAATCCCAATACTTACAATAGTTCCCAATATACTTACACTAATACGCAATAAAAGAATGCATGTTTGATCATATTTTTTCATTACATCTTTTATACTGAATTTAATTTATTCTGAAAAAAATAAAATAGAATATTTGGATTAAATTAAATTTATTTTTGGACATTTTTTAAACTAAGGTACAAGTCCTCTATTTGGCTTTTCAATTGGTAATGAGAATTTGATCAAATAAAATAAAAATTGGACTTAATTCAATTTATATGAAGGAGTGTCATTATCATATTTATCATATTTAAAATTATTAAAAATAATTTAAATTACATTTTTTTAACTTTACAATTTGAAAAAACACATAAAACACATTTAATATTTTAAATGGATATGTAATATTTTAAATAGTTTAATTCAAGGTGGAAATTTTATTTAAATGTGAAAAAAGTCTGTAAAATCAAAATATCATAACTTTTAAAAACAAGTAACGTACTATAAGAAAGCATTTACCAATTGTTTTCTTAATCCAAATTTTTATTTTGATTACATTTTAAAATACAAAGAGTTTAAACA